TTCTTAAGTGAGCCATGGTTATTAACATTAGTGGAAATTTGTATTTCAAGCATATTTAGATGCCAGTATATTTAAGAATCATTGGCTTGGGGCCTGGGTGGGTCAGTGGGTTAAGCATCCAACTCTTGATTTTGGCTTAGCTCATGATATTGGTGCTCTGGGATTGAGCCCCACATTGGGCTCCGCACTCATCAGGGAGTCTGCTTGGGGATTCTGTCTCTCCCTCTCCTCCTGCCTCTCCCCCTGCTTGCATGCTCTCTCACTTGCTAAATAAATAAATAAATAAATAAATAAATAAATAAATAAAATCGTAAAAGAATCATTGGCTTAAAACACTTTTTCCAGTGTGTCCATTGAATTCCAGTTTCTCATTTTGGCTTTATATGTGCCTCCCTAGATGGAGATTCGGAGTACCATTGGTAGCTCACTGGTTTCTTCTGGAATGAATATACATAGAAAGCAGAAATGCCTATGGTGCATCATTCTGTGGGGAGACCAGTTTTAAAGTGAGATAGTGTGGGACAGAGATGAGTAGCTGATGTGTGAGGGAATTATAGACTTATTTTGAGCTTTTTCGGTGGAAAAACTTGAGAAAACCAATTTTTGGAAAATGCAAAGATTCTTGAAATGCAAGTCAAACTACCTGGAGAAGTCATTTGTATTTTATATCCACACATGCGGATTGGCATGGAGGAGGCACACCCAAGAATATGACACAGGGAAGGTACTTGATGTTTTTAAGTAAGGAAACATACTACCGAAGAGAAAGCAATTGATCTCCTGACTGGTTTACTGAATCCTTTGAGTTTCTTGTTTCCATTGAAGACCATTAAAATATTTGGAAGGCCAGTGTATTTGATGGTCACAAAAGCACGTTTAATTGCTTGCATAAAGTTGGATCCTGTCTTTTTCCTTTCCCAACAAAGTGACATTTATTAACATTTCTCTGGTAGTTATTTGTAATTGCACTAGTGTTCACCAGTCCCAAATGTTACAATTAAATCATTTGAGATTCCAGTCACATTTTAAAGCAGATGCAACAAATTACAGCTCAAGACTTCAGCTTGAAATCTAGAGTTCCAATTAGTCAAATATCTGGGGTGGGAAGGGTTAGTAAGGGAAAGACCCAAGAAAACACACTGCCCAAAATAGTTTGAAATTTCCTTGCTGCTTTGCCTCCACCCAAATTTGATTTGTCAGCATGTAAGAGGGTGTTACATCTTCTAAGAAACTGCTTGGTTTCCATTTCATTCAAATATAATTGGTTTTCATGGGCTGAATTGAAGCAGGAAAGCAAAAGTTAGGTGGGTGACGCAAGTGAGTAAACTCCATATATAGCAGCATCTCGGTTTGAGTGCTTGTTAGGCTTTGTTCTTTGTTTCCATCAAAACCACAGTTTTATGGACAGCTCTTTTTGTCATACTGGCTTTTGCGTGTTGGCTTAAAATGCAGGTGTGATGTCTAATTTTCTATTTTAACTAGTTTCAGGAGCCCCTGAAACTACCCTCTTACTTACCACTCCTTTAATTTGGAATAGCTACCCTATGATAGCTGCTGAGTTGTTGAATTTATTTTCTTTAGGACCAGCATTTAAAATCTCTTTTGCCAGTTACTCTTCCTTTTCCTGGGGACTCACTTATGTCTCTGCAACACTTATGAATTTGGTTTTCCCCACTGCTTGCTCTTACTGTGCTGCAGTCGAAAGGAAGCTGTGGAATTACGAGGCAAGAGCAAGGGTGGGAGAGTCTGAGTAGCTCTGGGTTCATGACTGGCTTTGCTGTTCACAGTCTCTCTGAGTGTGGTCCGGTCAGCTCACTTTGCAGAGTGGGGATATTCTCATCATAGAATGGGATTGATGGCACCCATCTTTCTGGAATGTTTGTTTTTTTATTTGTTCATTTTTTGGTGTGTGCATTCTTTTGTTCCTTCAGAGTATGTGTGGAGCACTTACCCTGTGTCCAGCTCTGTGCCAACAGATGGACATGGTCTATGCTCTTATGATGCCTACAGTATAGTGGGAAAAGTGGACATTAAAACAAGTAGTTACAAGTACGATCACTGTTGAAGAGCAAAAAAGAGTGTGCACAGAAGGCCATTGGAGCATTTCAGGGGAGAAACAAAGAAAAGCTGCCATGGTTCATTTGGGCTGCTATAACAAAATATCATAGATAAGTGGCTGAAACAACACTTTTATTCCTCACCGTTCTGGAGGCTGGGAAGTCCAAGATCCAAGATCAGCAGATTCAGTATCTAGAGAGAGCCCCCTTCCTGGTTCATAGATGGCTTTCTTCTTATTGATTGTTCACATGGCAGAAGGGGCAAGAGAGCTTCCTGGGGTCTTTTTATGGGAGCCCTAATCCATTCGCAAGGGCTGTACCCTTATGACCTCATCACCTCCCAAAAGCCCCACTTCCAAATACCATGACATTGGGAAGTAGGTTTTAATATATGAATTCTAGGGGGACGTTTAATATATGAATTTCAGTCCATAGCCATAAAAGTTTTGTTTGGTTGGTTTTTGGCCAGAGGAGGGAGACTGAGAGAAGTCATGGACAGCTTTGCTCAGCAAATAAATGTTAACTTCATGGGATATTGTCATGGAAGATGAGCTACAATAGGGCCATGCTTTGCTTCCCTTGGCAAAGTTTGCAAGTCTTTCTCCAGAGTCTGGAGTTTTCCAACTTGTCTGAACCTTTGAACTCTCTGCTCGCTCTGTCAGACACTATCCCACATCATTGCCTGCATCTGGCCCCGTGTTTTGTTAGTGTTACCCTGCCTAGGAGAAGCCTGCTTCCTTTTCCTGTGATGTGGTCTCTCCTGCTACTCTGACACCATTCCTTTTATTCTGTGAAATACTCTGGATGTTTTTCTCCACTGTGTTGACCATCTCTTTCAAAGATCAAAGAGCTTAATCTCTTTAGAATTTGCTTTATTTGTGTGTTCTGAACATTTTCAGCCTAAATTTATAAATATAGCAATCTTTCATCTATTAGGAATGTGGATACCAAGAAGCTGAAATAACTCTTCTCTCCCAAGACCACTTTTGTAGTCTTCATTGTACCTATTTATTTTTTAAAATCTCCTATCTTACACTGATCTCACTGAAGCAGGGGCTGGAAAATACTCATTGTTGGATCACCGGCACACCCAAGAATATGACACAGGGAAGGTACTTGATGTTTTTAAGTAAGGAAACATACTACCGAACAGTCAGGGATGATCTTAGATTCCACCTAAACAACAACCCAAAACTCTAGAAATGAGATATTTTAACATCTGATAGGTACAGTGAGTTGTCCTGAGTGCTGCAGAGATGTGCAGGAGGAATCAAATGACCTCCACGTGGGAGGTCCAGGGAGCCTCTGTGACCGTTACAACATTGTCTTCGTCTGTTCAGGCTGCCCTAAGAAAATACCAGACTGGGCAGCTTCTAAACAACAGAAATTAACTTCTCACAGTTCTGGGGGGTGGAAATCCTAGATCAGGGTGCCGGCAGGTGTGGGTGAGCGTTCTTCCAGGTTGTGGACTTCTTGTTGTAGCCTCTCCATCCCAGGAGGAGAGGGGAGAAAGAACTCTGTGGAATCTCTTTCACAAGAGCACTAATCCCATTTTTGAGGGCTTCACTTTCACAATCACCCCTCAAAGGCCCCACCTACTAATAAATACCATCACCTTTGGGGGCTGGGATTTCAGTATGTGAACTGAAGGCAGGGGGACACACAGGCATTCAGACCATAGCAATTATTCATGTTAAATCTTGGAGGATGGCAAAGATTTCTTCAGGTGAACAAGGAAGGAGTGACATCCTAACCTGAGAAATTGAACACGCAGATAGCGTAACATTGGAAAGATGCTCACACCTTTGCAGAACTACAAGTCACCCCCTGAACCCAGAGTGCTGGGCATACGTGGAGGCATGGTAAACATGAGGCTGGAGAGATTGGGCTATGGCTGGAGCCTGGGGGCCTGTTACGTAGAGGGCTAGTAAGTTTGGATTTTCCGAGCTGGGGAGCATTGAAGGAATTGAAGTCAAAGAATGGTTGAAATGTCAAGAAGAGGGAGGAGGAAATGATACCGTTCCTTACAACAACATGCCAGACAGTATCTACACCCTTCATGTGTACTAACTCACTGGTATAGAGAATATTCTGAACTGGGCAAAATCAAAGGCATTGAGAACACTGTATTATAACATTTGGGTTGAGAAACGATGGGGTCTTGAACTAAGGTTGTTTGAGTAAGGCTGGAGTGAAGGGGTCTCATCAGCAGAATTGACAGGTCTGGGACCATCCGCTGGAGGTGAAGGAGAGGCAAGAGGCCAGGACGACCTCTCCAGCTCCGCCTTGGGCAGGTGGGTATGTGGCAGTGCCTTTCTCTGAAATCGAGACTGTAAGACTAGGAGCAGGCTTCAGGGCAAAGATGATAAATTTAGATTTGACCTTGGAGCACTTGGTCCTGATGAGATAGATCCCCAAGAGGAGAGCATTGGTTAGGAATACCTCTCAGGAGCTCCCGTGGGTCGCGGGGGGACGTATATGTCAGGGAGTCTGTGGTATTGGAGTGGTAGTTGAAGCCATGACAATAGTCGAAATGGACTAGGGAGTTTATTCCGTAAGGGTGACCCTTAGAGAATACCCCCACTTCAGGAATGGTCAGAGGAAGGAGGACCAAATGATACCAGTACAAATTACTGTAGTTCTTTCTTTCTTTCTTTCTTTTTTAAGGTTTTATTTATTTATTTGAGAGAGCGCAAGCGGGGGGTGAGGGTTGGGAAAAGCGGGCTCCCCGCCGAGCAGGGAGCCCAACATGGGGCTCGATCCCAGGACCCCGGGATCATGTCCCGAGACGAAGGCAGTCGTTTAACTGACTGAGCCACCCAGGCACCCCTACTGTAGTTCTTTACTGCGATAAAATGTCCATCCATCATGACTGTATAGTATTGATTGGTTATGTGAGGTGATGTACTATGAAAGATAGATAGTAACACTTTAAAAACCAACTTGGTTTTACTTTAACTTTAATGCCAACAAATAGGATAAAACATCCCATGCCTAATTAGTAATAAATTATAAGTTAATAATTATTAAATTTGACTATTTTTCTCTCTTAGAATTTAAAGGAGCTACTAAATATTGTTTCTAGGATCAGGTCTAAAGCTGCTCAGAGAAACCAAATTGATTTCTTTTTCTCTACACACATGTCCTTGCGGTTATCAAGGAAGAATAGTTCACATTTTCCCATAGATTTATAAACAGCGTATTTTAGTTGGTCATTAGTAAATGTTTCTTGATAATGATCATTCTCCTATAGAAAAAGAAAATCTTTGCATAAAGGTCAACGCTGCATTTCTTCCATATGCCTTCCTCGGTAAACATAGTCTATTTCAAATGTAATTCCACTGCTGAGGATCAGACCAAAGACCACCAGAAACAGGTGCTAACAAATCCTGCATTCCTCAGCTTTGTTACCGCAAGGCCTACTAGATGCTGTAGAAGGTTCTTCACAATGTTGCAAAGCCATAGGAAGGTAGTCAGTAAGCCTTCTGTGTAGAATTTTTCAAAGGTGTCACAGTAGAGTAACGGCAACACTAAATTCCATTCGGTGAATGCTTACTATGGGTTAGGTTCTGTGCCAGTAGGTACAATACACGTCTTCTCTCTTACTCTCACAACCCAGCGTCCACACACACTGAGCTTTGTAGGCTCTTACCTCAGATGTCCCCATTTGTAATTTCTTTATGTCGACTCAGGATGGAAAGTTGGCTCTGAATATCTTGTCCTCGCTTCTCTGTGGCGCCCCTTCGTCCTCCAAACTTATTTCCCCAAAGTCTGCATGGTGGCTCCCTGCACCATGAAATCATCAAGAAAACAGTGTTGATACCAGTGAAATATGTGGATGAAGAAAAAAAATTATCATTCTTTTACAACATAACAGCCTTTTTTTAGTTCCATAGCCTTCATTTTCCTCCTGCATATGTATTCATACACTACCACGTGTACTAATTTGTATTCTGCTTTTCCTCTTACACATCATATTTTTTCATATTTCCATATAATTTTCATAATTATCATTTTCATTATAAAAACAGTATTACTCCATTACAGAAAATAAATCACCCATAATTACCATCTTGATGACACTTCTTGCTTGTTTTCTCTAAGTACCTGTGTTCCAAGTTAAGGGGGAGGGTGGGGATGTTTAAATAGCTAAGGAAACCTCCACCGACACTTTGTTTTTATTTTGATAATGTCAATTTTTTAAAAAAAAGTTCTTTCAGATTCACTTTATCTCTCTGAACTTCCATTGTTCCAACTGTCAAATGAAGGTATTGAGCTTTATTGTCGCTAAGATTATTTCTAAAGTCCTTCTACAATGTAGCCGGTCTGTGACTCCGTTTTAATGTAATAAACCTTGATGGCATTGGTAGTTCTTTGCTTTTTTTTTTTTTCTTTCTTTCTTTTTTTGCCCTATACCTCACCCCATTGAGAATGCGGTGAAAGCTTTGGACCCTCTCCATTTAAAAATACCACAATGCACAAACACAAAAAATGTTTCATGCAAGACCATCTGGGGACCAAGAATCTTTTGCTGTAAGCACAGGAAAGGAAAATTTATGGAAATGACAGGATTCAGAAAGTATTAACTTTTTGGGAGGTGGGAAAAATGATGTGGTTCCTCTTTCTCTAATATTGTGCAACCAAGAAAGCAGAAAATGGGAAGAAATTCTAAAAAAGCACGTATCAAACACACTGTAAAGTTACATAAAAATATTGACTAAAGTGAGTTTTGAATATTTGGGTGTGATTCGTTTAGGACAGTCACTGTGACTGTAGTCAAAGATGGTGACTCTTGGAGCTACATGGAAGTACTGAACTCATGCTTCCAGGAGG